AACAATGTGTGTGTGTGTAACCCTTGGAATCAAAGGGAACCTTTAGGTTTGGAGCAGGGGGATTGGGGGAGGAGCGGTGGCCAACGAAGACCTCCTCTGGGGTCCGTGCAAACGTACCTGCCAAACTGGTTACCTGTTGTTCTCGCTGTGGTTTGCTTTCATGGCGGTTCATGTGGGTCTGTTACTAATCGCTACTCGCGTTTCGTGTTTTGAGTCTTGCTGGCCTCCAACCTTGCAGTGTTTTGAGTCTTGCTGGCCTCCAACCTTGCAGTAAGGGCCTCCACTTACTGACACCTGTCCTGGTTCCTTAGGTTTTCACTCAGGCCGGCGTGTGGCACCGCTGTCGAGTCAGTACGCATATCCATAATAAGTGTGTTTGGCCTCGCGCCAACCCGGGATGAGCCCGTAGAGTGCCTCCCGTGGACCCGTCGAAGGGGTGTCTGTCCATGTTCCCCGGCTTTGGGAACGTAGGTGTCCGGAGCGGACAGTAGCTGGCTCATGCCACAAGAACTCACATTTTTGTCTCATTTTTGGAATTCCAAGCTGGCTCATGCCTTCACGTGACCGCAGCGGTCAAAGCAGCCAGCCATTTCGGCAGGGCACAAGGTGACCATAGCGGTCAAAGCAAGTTTAAGGTTCATTGGAACCTGTCAAGCACTTAGTCCCCCCTCCTCCCCCTTCCCTTCCCCCTTTCTTTCTTTGCTTTCTGGTGTTTTCCTGAATGGAATACTCAGGATCTCCCCTCTCTTTCTTTGGTGTGTCCCTGGACGATTGTTCGTAGCTGGGAACACCTTCCTTTCTCTCCTCTCCCTTTCTCTCCCTCTCTCTTTCTTTCCTTCTCTCTTTCCTATCTTCACCCGCTTCCTTGGGTGCCCCTGGATGCTTTCGTCATAGCTGGGACCCCTTCCTTTTTGGTGTGTCCTTGGACGCTTGTGTCGTAGCTGGGAGCACCTTTGTTTCCTTCTTTCTTTCCCTCTCTTTTCTTCCTCCCCTCCCCCCTCTTTCCTCGCGCGCGGCGTGTTTACAAGCAAACTAGGCTTCTGCAACAAGTTTTTCTAATGAGGTTTGGACTGTCATCGGTTTGTCCCCGTTCATTTGGTTCCCCTTTCATCGGCCCCCACAGACGTTTTTCCTTCTTTTCTTTCATGTCTTTCTGTCTTCATGTCTCTTCATCCTCATCCTTTCTTTCTCTTGCGCGTACTATCGTCCGGACCTTAGTTTGCACACATACACGCACGCGTACTCTACTTACATCGAGGTTCAGGTGGCCCAGGTTCGTTACAATGAGGTTTGGTTCATCGGTTGTCCCTCTTCACTTGGTTCTTCTTCATCGGCAACCACACACACCTTTGTCTGTCTCGTCCTTTTCATTTTCATCTGTCCCTTTTGCGTGCACATGTGCCTTGCCTCCTTTCCGGGCAGGATGGAGGCCACACATGCCTCCCTTCGGGGAGGCGTGTGTGTGTAGCCCTTGGAATCAAAGGGAACCTTTAGGTTTGGAGCAGGGGGATTGGGGGAGGAGCGGTGGCCAACGAAGACCTCCTCTGGGGTCCGTGCAAACGTACCTGCCAACTGGTTACCTGTTGTTCTCGCTGTGGTTTGCTTTCATGGTGGTTCATGTGGTTCTGTTACTAATCGCTACTCGCGTTTCGTGTTTTGAGTCTTGCTGGCCTCCAACCTTGCAGTGTTTTGAGTCTTGCTGGCCTCCAACCTTGCAGTAAGGGCCTCCACTTACTGACACCTGTCCTGGTTCCTTAGGTTTTCACTCAGGCCGGCGTGTGGCACCGCTGTCGAGTCAGTACGCATATCCATAATAAGTGTGTGTGACAGTTGGCATGAAAGCGTAGTGAACTCAACAAGGGTGAGAATCTCTCAAATTTGCCTTGTTATGAATGATTACGATGAATCCACCAGGTCTCTCACGTGCACCAGGTTCTCCGAAACGGCTCCGCATTCTCATCTGGGAAAGGCCGGACTCGAGGAAATGGGCTGGCAATCTTTTCACACGAAGGGCTATCATCCATGTGTGTTGACATCCTAGGTCCTAGGTCCTAGATCTGGAGAATCAGTGTCCAATACCTCTGAGGCTGCGTCTCATCAACATCACCTTAGCTCTCAACCAATGATCAGCCCTTTGTATGCAGAAAGTTTGAAAGGCTGCTTCCTTTCATCACATCTTTGCTGAAAGGCAGTCATTATTTTCTAGCCTTAAAGCGCAGATCCTTGCGGCCGGTGGCCGCTTCAGCCCCTGGCCGTTCCCATACAACTGGAGCTCATGATCGCACGCACAAAAGGTGTGTCCAACAGGTCAGAGGTGTTGAGCTCCTCCACGCTGCAGGCTGCGCCGGTACAGAACACTTGTGTTCAATGTGCTCTTGATACACTGCCCTGGACCAATCATGGAAGTGCAAAATGGTGCCTGAAATAACCATGTTCCTCTACAAACAGGTGGTGTTCGACTTTCATGAGTATTTGCGCGTCATTACACTCCCTGAAATAATCATAGTCCATAGTCTCACCAGTCAGTATCACAATGTCAAACATAACTTGCTAGCATGCAGCAGACTATGCTCAGTCCCCAAAGCGAGAGGTTCAGTGTGACTAAAATGACTACAACAACAGGAAACAGGCAACCAGACCAAGTGAGGAGCGAAGGATCTCACTGTCCTCTAAGTTGTGCTGGTTGTTCGCAAAGGTGCAGATCCAGTAAGGACTGTCATCCAGCAGCTGATGCTCCTGTCATGTTCTGTTTAACTGCTGGTTTGTTGCGGTTCCAGTAGCCATGAGACACCTGTACTTCGTCAACCACTACAGCTCTCTGCAAAGATGTAATCTGCAACAAGTCTCCAAACTGTTTGAAGCAATAATGGAAGCTGATGAAAATTCCATTCTTCCGACCAAGGAAAAGTTCCTTCGAGAATGCCATGTTTGCTTGTGCAAAGCCAAACTTTGCATAAACTGTGCATGATTTATCAATAGGAGCTGAGTCATTGACATTGAGGATTGAGGCCATCGTCCACCCACGCCCATAAGCCAGCCTTGGAGTGGAAGCTCAACATGTCCAGACCTCGGCAACACGACGACTAGAAGCGTTACTAAAGACTAAGCCTAAGCTGTCACCTGTAGGCATCCCTAGGCATTGGCACCTCGTCTATCCTTGGCTTAGACTATGTTACTTTACATATATAGATGTGCTCTCATGTCTTTTCTGTGTTGTTTTCCATTTCCTGCACCAAGATAACTGAGCAACTTCCCAGCAAATCGAGACCGCTGAAGAATCTCGGTGTCTGGCTATCTCGCCATGGAGTACCCCACCAGTGGGATACAAACCACACAGGGTCCTCCAACTCCAGTCTCTCTTCCATAGAAGCCGCCAGTCCCACCGCAATGAGTGTTCTTCTTGTTCACATGAATATGCCATACTTATCCCTGCATGCCTTTCATCTTGGCAATCCGATCCAGATCCAGCCCTTTCTCCGCCTGTGCTGCATCCATGACCAGCTCTGTAAAGCTACAGACCTGCAAGCTATTTCTGGCTTTAGGAGCTGAACAGGCACCAGACAACCCTCATCTGACGTCTGGCAAAACAGGACTCACTAGACTTCCTATTGTAGGGCTGTGTGTGTGTATCTATCCAACCACCCTGTGGCCATGGCTGGGATGGAAACCACCCTCAGGACGAAATCAAGAAGAATCATCAATCAATACAACCAACCAATTGATAGAAAGGGATATCAATGATACCAGTGGATACAAAACAGTATGTCAAACACAAATGAACAAATGAACTACAAAACACACGAGCGGGCTCGCAACGTCACACCCGCGATTGCTCCTCCTTTTTTCGTGAGGCGCAGCACAAACAGCTCGTTCAGGTGGTACAGGTTCACATCTCAGACAGCGTCACAGAATCGCCTACTTAATTCTATGTTAATTCTATTTGTATTTCATTGATTGTTTCTAATAGCTTCTTGCTCCTAGTAGTAATGCCAGGAGCGCCTAGTAGCGTCCTTGCTCCTAGTAGCGATGCCCTTTGCTCCTAGTAGCTTCTTTGTTCCGTTCTCAACAGCTCATGAGCCTGCCTATGTCGTATTTTATAGATTTGGCTTACGCTGCAGCTTATGCCTAGCTGCCTAGCTTACTCAAGCACACCTGCAGCTTACACCTGTGCGATTCCTGGTTGAGCTTTACCCAAGAAAAATACGCAAGCTTGCGTGCACCAGGGTTTGACTTACGCAACAAGCTATCTATATATATATAATCACTAAAACTAAAATGATATATCTCAAATTGAACCAGGGGGGTTGAGGCGGGCAGCTCAACCGCTACTGCTATCTTGAAGAACTTCCCCGAGCGTGCAGGGGCTTTGTATTCGCGAAATGGCAATGTGCGTGTCGCATGGCCAAGGACATCGACGGTCCAAAGCCTAAATCTGACGACTCTGGGTTCCGAGCTTTCCATGGTCAAACGTCCCAGATCCGTCGAAGCATTGGGCTCTTCCACCTTTCTCTGAGCAATCAAATGAAATAGGATGAAATCGACTGTCAAAGTCAATGCGCGTCTCGACCATCAACAAACAAACCTGCCTCAATCAACTCCAGCACCTTGTCGACCAACTCCGTGAAAACCTGCTCAGCGACAAATCACAAAAATACAGAAATCAGTACAAATCCGATGCGATCTTGGCATGTACAAAACGGAACAACATAAAGCAGCACTATTTTGTTGACTGCCCGTCATTCCTCAAGTCTTCTCAAATGCAGTCCAGCAATCTATGCACAAACTATGGTGGCGAGAGTGAAAAAGCGCGGACATGCGGCCTGAGTCGAGGAAGCACAATTGATTTGAAAACTCCGTGGAAAAGTTCACGATGGAAGTGTGGACAATCATGTGCTCCCTACAGTGTCTACAGGCCTAAATTGAATCAGCATGTCTAGACTGCACATAGAAATGCCTCAGAGATTGGTCCGCAGAACTGCTTCTTTCAGAATCTTCAGAACTCACTCCACCTGAAGGCCACACTCGTGGATCAGTTTGGAGAGAGCTGCATCTCTGCTGGATGTGTCCACCTTGAAAGCTGCTCTCCATGCTGTACAACGATCCAGCATGGCCTTCCCGAAGCTTCTCGTCTCGTGACCCTGGGCCAACTGATCCTCCCAGAGCTGGCGCATGGTTTTCGCCGCCTTGTGATAACCTTCAGGGATCTCGTTCCTTTGAAGCCTTGTCCTGGCTTTCAGCTCGCCAAAGACCGCTTCAGCTTGTTGACAGCTTCGGAAGAAGAAGCGCAGGGCATCTGCTAAGACCGCTTCATCTTCAAAGTCTTTTGCCTTGGTTCGAGAACTGAAGTGACCAGCACGGAAATCTTCGCCTCGGCCACCATCCACAGCACCCTTGGTCGCTTCATCCCGCATGCTGCGGTAGTCCTTGCCGAAAGCTGAGATGCCGGAGGAAAGCCCTTTGAGTTCAGCCTGGCGGTGCAGCAAAGCCTCAAGCTGTTCGCGTTCCACCTCAGCTCCGACCAAAACACTTGTCGGCACGACTTCAATTCGCTCTACCATCGTGCCCTCACCAAAGGCACCAGCCACTGTATCACGATCCTGTCGCCGCAAGAGTCGTGTCTCCCACCTCTCCTTGCGGGCGATCACCTGTTGCAAAGCTTGGATCTCTTGCTCAATCTTGTCCAGGGCGACAATAATCGATGCAGCTTGATCTCCCTCACGTCGTTTCTGCACTTGGGCACAGGTCTCTGCAAAGCGCAAGGTCTGCAGCGACTCCTCTGCATGAGTTGGATCCATAGTGACGGTGGTGATGATCAGGGTCCGTGCTGAACCTCCGAGAGCTTCTTGCAAAAGCATTGTAAGCTTGGAGTCCTGGTAGGGGACGTATGGTAGCGCATGGCTAGGCACACCTTCCTGAGCCATCCTGCAGCGTTGATGCAAAGCTTCAATGACTCGCTTCAAAGAGAATAAGCCCTTGTTGATGTTCAGCGTCTCATACACTCTCTGCCGATGCCGATTGTACTCTTGCCAGCTCAATCGGCTCTGCTCTTCGCCACCCACAACCTTAGATAAAGCTCTATATCCAGCCACGCCTTCCCTCTTTTTCACTTGAGCACTGTGGCTTCAACTTTAACTTTTTGCGGCCTTCCGCTTTGGACTACACCGGGCTCTCTGCCCTCCGAATGTGCAAGGAAAGGAGAAGCACTACGATCAGCCACTTTCTCTGATGGTTTCTCCGGTGATTTTCCAACCAAGGCACAAGCACTTTTGCCTTCGTTTCGGCATCCACTTTGCTCTTGGAAAGCTGCTCAGAGCCACCAAGATCTGCAAAATAGAACCGGCTCTGGCGGGCATGCTTGTCTCCGGATGTGACCTGCGAGCTTGCTGACATGAGCGATTGAGGCATTCTAGCTAGGTGTAAACAAGTGTGAAGTTTTGACACATCATGAAACATCCTTCTCAAGACTCATGTCGCCTTTTGTCCTTTGGCATTCTAGCCCTACAGTACAGTGAGCTTTTCCAGGCTTTGCGCTTCCGCATATTGTGCAAACCACGCCTGGAGTGACAGCACAAAGACCGTATGCGCTCGGGTGGAACGTTCATTCATGGCAGTGGCAGCACGTCGCTTGGCGGCATCACCATGCTCGAGGAGCTCCTGCAACTCCTGATGTGAAGGGTCGGATTTCACATGAAGTTCCGCACCCACAAATCCGACGAATCTTGATCAGCATGTTGGAACTTGAAAATAGCACACCCAAATCACATTCGGAGACAGTTCTTGCTCGTCCTCCAGTGACTGGATGTGCCACTCCGTGTGCCTGGGCAGAAGAGCAACTGGGACTACATGATGACAAGTTTGACCTTTGACATCACAAATGTTGCTGATCATTTAGTGGTGTTGTTTGTAAAATTAGCAAATTTAGAATTGAAATGGAAAGGGAAAAAAGATCTTTCAAAAAAAACAGTCATAAAAGGTGCTACGCGGTGCCAAGATGCCCATCCAAGACGTAACGATGCCCCACCCTATCAGTGGCACGCACCGCAGAGTATCGGCCCTCTCGGTGTTGACCCACCACACGGCCTTCACGGAGGAGGTCTGAGACCTGAGAGACGGATTTCACTTGCGGAGCAAGGACATGGCCTACGGCCAGAGAGAAACAAATAAATTTGCCAACATGTCAAACATTGTCCATCTGCATCCTGGCTCCAACCTACTTTCGGCAGACGTCAAATTAGCATAAATTAGCTGTGACCCATTTGCCTCTTTTGTCAGACTAGGTCATTCTATGACACACACGTCGTTGCTATCATTGGGAGCTGTAGGATGCTGTGACACCTTACGTCAATCATCTTCACAGCATCTCACAATGTTCGATCGTCTCTTCGTCTCTTCCCTCGGGCCTCGCTCCCAAAAAGCTCCACATAGCTGGCACTCAGCTGAACTTGAAGCCCTCGAGAGCTCCAGCGCTCCACAGCCTGCAAAACCTCAGCGCAAGTCCTCAGGTTAGGCGATGTTCTTATTTTTGGCCCGTGGCCCTGCCCCTCCTTACTATTACAGTAATTAAGTAGGCGCCTACTTGATTAAGTAAGGGCTAAGTAAGCTACCAGTAACTGGGCACGGGATAGCTTGCGCTTCCTCAAGGAAGCGCTCGCACTATTCATTTGGTTCCTAGACTTTTGAACCAAGGTCATGCTATGTATATATATATACTCTCTCGACAAAGGATGACAATATTTCTTGGATGTTCTTGGACTGCTCATAGAGGTTCAGATTGAGAAGTGGGTGGTGGAATTGACATTTGGAATGATATTTAGAATGCATCTCAAGAGAGACTGTAGCTAGATCACTGTACTTTAAGGTTTCAACATGTCACGGTCTCTCTGACATATCTCTTCCGCAAATTGATCCGTCCTTGGCACCAGGCCCTGAAGCTCTTCACTTGCCTGTCCTGGTGGTCCAAACATCGTGTGGGTTTTCCCGCTCGCTGTCTGGCCGTAGCCTGGGCTCAATCGGGGCTGCTGCGGGAGTGACAAAGAGAGGCACTGCGGCAGAAGGTACAAAGCTCATGTTGGTCAACGTCAGTTGTTAATTTGTGAATTACAGTAGATTTTCGAGTCTTTATTCCAGGCTGTGAGCTCCAAACTTGGATTTCTACTTCAAAGACTACTGAGACAAAAGACACAATGTCTATGCATGAGTAGTCCAAGCTGCAAATGATGCTGGCGCTAGTGCCATTCAGAAACTCCATGACCAAACGACGGGCTGCCTCTTCGTAGACATGTGGTTGCAAAGTGCGCTCTGCAAAGACTTTGTCGAAAGCAAAATCGTGCAGCCCGCTGTTCTTTGTCACTGCAAGCACCTCTGGACATCACAGGGTATGAAAAAAGGAACATACTTCCCCGTGATGCTCTTTGCGTGCAAAACGCAGGATGGAGGCGCCGCAGATTCTAGCAATGCCCTGCACATTCCGTCGTCAAAGTCCATTAGAATCAAACTGCAAAAAATTGAAAAACATGCTCAAAAGGGATTTATGGTGGAACTGGTGGTGCTTCTAAATTCAGCTCTGGAACTGATGCCTTCTCTTCCTGGACCGAAAGGATCGAGCAGCGTGCATCAATGTTCACTTCATCGATCTCCTTTGAGCAGCGAAGGAGAAAGATGCTTTGGACGTGTTCATTCGAAGTTTTCATTGGGGGGTAGGCCGCTAGAACAGGGGTAGAAGAGGTAGCTACTAGCTTAAGTTAGCTTCTAATAACTGGACGCAGGATCTCACGCTTCTTCAGGGAAGCGCTCGCACTAATGATTTGGTTCGTAGATGTTTATTGAAAAACACATCAAAATCATTCAACTCGTCTGCCTCTTTGGCCCGTGGCCCGTGGCCAGCCTCGACCTTCTTCTCATTGGTCATGATCATATCAGTATTTTGCTGGCGATTTTCCTTGTCGTAGCCAGGTGAAAGGCAGGGTTGGAAGATGCCTTCACTCGACTCAATGGCCACTTTTCCCTTCAAACGCTGCTGCTTCTGCATGATGAGGCTCACTGCCTCCTTGGAAGTACAGCCGAGCTGTCTCCTCACGAGCTGAACCTTCTGATGCAGTGGCAAAACCACTCCATCCTCCTCGGCCATGTCACTGGTCGCCATGGATGGGCGGAATCTGGCTGCCACGCCGATCTTGAAGTCCTTCCATGGAAGCAGTGCAGAGATGCAAAAAGCGAGAGGCTACTGGAGAGCATTCTCCAGAGCAGGAAAGAGTCTTTGAGTGCTTACACTTCACAAGAGTCAGAGTAGTCATAGTCCGTCCTCGCTCTTCTCAACACTTTTTCCATCAGCTGCCTCCTGCCCGCTGAGGGAAGCGAACGATGTTTGATATCCCCCAGTGTAGTCAGGAGAGTGTGCAGCACATCGCTTCAAAAAGAAACGACTTTTGCAAACCTAGGAAGATCTCCAACCAAGCGTCTGTCGCTACATCTCTACGAATCTGCAAGCCACTGCCACTGCAAGTACCTTTTCTGCTTTGTGAGGATTTCTGATTCTGAAGAAAATTTGTTGCAGCTACAGCTGTGGCCCGGCTCTTGCGGAACACCCGTCCTTGACGGCATTGAGCTCCAAAAAGAGCGCTCGCCAGTCCTTCGCTATCGGGCAACCGTTTTCAACAAAGCGGGGCACATAGATGTCATGTTCTTCGGCCAGTCGTTCGCAAAGGAAACGCCAATATCCTTGCACAGTGCAAAGAGCCGAATCTTTGTTCCTCTGAAGGAAAATTCGAAGTTTCAAATAATTTCAGGCTGCGAACAAATTGTCCCTGGCCTTTGAGCAGCAATCAATGCTACCAAAGTTCACGCCTATAAGTCACACATGCAGCACGTGAAAACATCTTGCAAGAACGTTTGGGAAGCCGTTCTGAAATGCCTATTGAGTAAGACTTATCCGCCGACCCCTGCCGTTGGGGGAGCGCGCCAAAGAATCCTGTCCAATTGCGCTTAATTAAGAGCGAAAGTCTTTTTCCAAAAAGCACGGGCCAAGCTGCTTCGACGACGACAACTGTTATCATCTTCGGACAAGGCTGACCAACAGGCAACGGGGGGAAAGGCCCGAGACACGGGGGGGAAAAAAAAACCCAGGCATCGGGGGTAAACCCCTGGCAAAAGCAAAACATCACGTTTCCACGCCCACCAAATTTTGATCCAACCCCAATTAAAATCTATTGTTGGGTTTACCCCTTTGCCCCGAAACGTGGGGGGGGAACCCATTTGGGGGTAACCCCGGGTGGTCGACCCCGGGCACAACCTTCGAGAGAAAGCCCAAGGCAAGGGGGCAAACCCCAGAACCAAATGACTCCAGTAATCTGCGTTTAAAGGAAAAAGTCATCTTTCGGAAATGATGTTCATTATTCGACCGTTTGTTAGCTACTACTGCCACCGCCGCCCAAAGGTGACGTTAGCCACCCGCAAAACGGCGTTGAGGGCAATTTTGGGATCATTTTTGGTTCGAAATTAGATTGGTTAAAGCTGTGGCGAAGGGAGCGATCGAAAAGGACGTTCGAAAAGGAAACCGCACCACTAAGACCGCCCGAACGAAGCGCAGGGAGGAGTCGAACCCGGGACCTCGCGGGTTGCGAGCCGGCACGGGCCCCCGGAAAAAAAATTCAGACGGTGGGGTTGCATTGTCTTTGGCAAAGGCGAAAACCATCACGGGACAGCGAGGGTATAAACCGATTTAACTATATTTAACTTGACTATAAACGGCCCGGTCCGGTCCAAATTGAGGGATGGGCCCCACGGCCTGACGACTCCTGTCACTAGTACCACTACCACTACCACTACCACTACGACTACGACGACTACTACTACTACTACCACCACGGCTGCGCACGCGATCTGACAGGGGTCGGCGGGCACGGGGCGTCAGCCCTTAATTTATTTTATTGTATTTTATTTGATCGAAGGCCAAGCGTCCTTGGTTCTCCTCTGTCAGTTGCAAAGAGGATCGGAGAGCACGGCTCAACTGGGTACAAATACCCCGGTGCTGCCAATCACAAAAAGCCAAGATGTTTAAGGGATGCAACTCGGAAGAGTGCCCGTGTCCCATGGCGTCAAAACCGGACAGCGGCTAACGCGGCGAACAGAAACGTCACGACAAAGGCAAAGGCGATTTAAAGGAGCCCTTCGCATCCTGACTCTGGAGAGCTGAGGCTCAATTGGATCTGAATTGGTCCCTATTTATGCATGAAGAGCTTCACAGTCATGGAACTTCCATTTGTTCCTGTCTCATCCTGTCTCAGTGACTTTTCACTGTCTGTCCCTTCTGAATCCTGGCGGGCCTGAGCCAAGGTACCCAAGCAAGGCAGGATGGAATGCTAACTCAAGCATACCAAAGAAAAAGAGCTTGGCTCTGACTCCAAAGCCGGAGAACTGGACAAGTGCAGTACACCCGCCCACATCGCACGAAACATTCCTCAAAGGATCATCTCCCAACATCTTCAACACTCCTGACTTGATGTAAGATCTTCTGCACTTTTGCAAGCTAAGAACCACATGCCTCTAGCTGCTTCAAGGTAATGCCCCTTCGATGCGTTTCCGCCTTGGTGTGCCCCGCAACGACATGGTGACAGGCACCGCGTTTCCGCCTTGCCCACTCTGAGAGCAAGACAATACGTACAGCAGCACGCTGATATGTCTGCGGCCTTTGGCACAGAGGATCCGTTTTCCGACTTCAAAGCTTACCAAATCACCCTGAGGTTCCTGTCTCCTTCAACTCCCTCGCACATGCATGTGGAAACCAGGCATCATCATTCCGTTCTCAATGCTTGACTGGGGTGCATCACACGTCGACCTGTGAAGTCCAGTCTACCTGAGCACGGCTGCATGGTGAAAAGTCAAACAACAGATTGAAGTACGCAAAGGCAGATCACACTGGCAAGGCAATATTAAAGCTATCTCAGGGATCTTAAAACCTGTCCAGAGTGTTGAGCTGTTTACAAGTAACACCCCGTTCAAAGGACCTGAAGTTCCCTGGGCATCACTAGCGCCTGTTACTAGTCAGAAGAACGCTGCTCGTCACCAAGTAGATAAGTAGTATGAAGAATACAGCTTGATCTTGTACTACCCAAAAATCTGGCAACACCACTTTCCAGACCGTTTCTCCAAACATCTCCGAACGCCCACGAATCCCAGAGTTTGCCTCGGTCAACTTCTGCACCCGATGAGCCGACCCGCCTTCAAAGTTGAAAGACAGCTGGATCTAGCCAAGCTCAAAGCACGATGTTCATGTATGTTAAAATAGACGGTACAAATAAAGCGGAATGCGGCAGGCAGGCAGGCAAGCAAGCAACGGGATTCTGCATCATTACATCGTGTGGCAAACCTGGTTTCTCGGGGCTCGTTCAGCACAGCAGGGGTCAGCAGGGTATTGTAAAGATGTTGACTCAGTAATGCATGCCAAAAGAACCTGTTGGTTGTTCATAGTGCCAACTTGTTCCAACATGTAAAGTATGATATAGTAGTAGTAGTAGTAGTAGTAGTAGTAGTAGTAGTAGTAGAGTGAATCAGTGTGACTGCGACCAAAACAGTCAACTTTTCCCGCGGCAGGTCGTTGGTCACTCGATAATCTTCTCTCACTCCATGGAGCCCTTCTTGGCCTAGGAAAGAGACGCTTGCGTCAAACAAGAACTGACGGCGGACTCCATATGGGACTCTATGAGTTTACTATATAGACTAAGAGCGATGGCCTCCACCCTAGTAGCGATGGCCTCCAACCTATGTGTCAACTCCTGTGCTGCGTGAGATTGCTGAGTTCCCAAAGTAATTATTAGATGCCCCCAGTTCTCGTCGCAGCTCCACCAGCCAATTCCTGAACTACAGTAAGTTGAGAAAACAATGAAAGGGTGTGTGTGTGTGTGTGTGGTGTCTCTGTTGCCAAGGCGCCTTCTTCTTCTGCAGCTCTGCTGCCCGCTTCTCCTTCTGCTCATGGTGGTACTCAGAGAGGCGCTTCTGGTAGGCTGCCTTGGCCTCCTTGCCAGCTTCCATGCGCTTGCGGGTGAGGGCCTCGCAGTCGCGCAGCGATTTATATATAGATTTATATATATATATAGATAGATATCTCTCCTTTCTATTCAGGTGGTGAAAGTTCCGAAACACAGAAACACAAGTCAGAGCAGAGCGCCTTGAAGTAGCGCTTTCGCTGCAGGAGCTGAGGAGTGATCAAGCGCTGGATCTTCGGGGCCTGTCAGCTTGATCGACTCGGTCCAGAATTTTGAAACACAAAGGGTGCCAGACCAAATTGTGAGTCCTGGGGTCCTGCCTCTGAGACTTTGTGGTTGACTTGCTAGGCTTGCTAGGACCGCTAGGAGCTTTGGAAGGAGAAGAGAACTTGGAGAACGAACAGCTTGCTCGTCTGCCTTGCTCTTCTTGCCCTCCTTCACCTCTCTTCGCACCACAAACTGGCGCACGTCGTCCTTGCACATGCAAAGCCCACACTACACCATGAAGGGCAAACGGAGACCTTTGAGATCCTTCAGCCTTCTCAAAGCAAAACAAGAATTGACATTGAGGCCCAAGTGGAAAGCAAGATTACAAACCCTTACAAAACCCATGAAAATCCAGCATCACAATTCGACTCCTTCTTCTCCAAGCCGAAAAGCTTCCGAATCTTGGAGGCCTCACAGGACACATGCTTTCATCAAAAGAGCACTCAACATAGCTTCAATGCGTCTACAGCCGCCTTTAGTTCAATTACATGGGAGTAAGCCAAAACCAGCGTTCTGTTTTGGGCTGAACTCTAGGCCACCGCACCCTCTTTGGTCCCAATCGTCTGGGCTTGTTGTCGTCCTGAGGCACACTCGCACTGGAGCATTGGTCCAACACTAGTGTGCATTAGAGTCTTCAAAAAAGGTTCATACTCAATTTACTCAATCATACTCATACCATCCCGGTGTCAATTCAGGTGGGGGAGTCCAGCCACCCATTTTATAGATATAAAATGGTGGTCCCACCCCCTATTGCACATCGAATGCGGGTACCCCACCTCAAGTGTAATTCCATAACATGACAAACCCCCACGTCACAAACCAAGCGCCATCAAGCACCATAAACCCATTTACACCTCTGCATGGCTGGCCAAACAAAAACAGTGAGCAACCAAATTGACACACTCTAGTGCGTTTGCGGCACTGATCTTGGAGCATGTCTATGGTGCGTATCTGCTATCACTGTACCTTTGTGTGGATATATGGAAATATCATGGTTGTGTATGCGGCTGGTTCATGAGCCATCACAGAAGCATACAAGATGCATAAAAGCATTTCAAACGAGCGGTTTTCTCTATGACTCTATAAAATCAAGGACCAACTCCCCCCTCAGCAGGGGCATGAAACGTTTTATAGGAGGGGTTGACACCTGTGATCTCATAGAGGATATTGACATGGAGATCTCATACCTGTGAGGTTTCAAACTCAACCTTGAACAAGAAACCTGGAAAAATCTTGACAACTTAAAAGCTTCTAGAGTCCCCGTCACGCCGTCTGCTGTTCAAGTCGTGCTGCAAATTATGGAGTCTCGCCAAGTCTCAGTGAGGCCGGGGATGTCTTGCTCACCCTTCTTCACGACCACCTTAAGGTGACTGGAGCCACCGAGCGCCATGGAGCACGGTAGGACACTGTAGGGTCTAATATTTGCCAACATGAATCTCTTCAAGCCAAGCAGCCAAGTGGAGCACAGCAAGGTCAGGGCCAACGATGCAGCCTTCAAAGCTCGTCCAAACCCCTTCGTCTGCCAACACGATTCTTAAGTATGATGTGAGACAGGACAACAAGTGTGAGGTCTTAGTAGGTCACTAAGTCAAGGGAAAGGTGGATCAACCAAATGGATGTCTCCCTTTTGAAGAAAGCCCACTACAGTCGCAAGTGGATGGTGATCACACATGCGAGGACTGCTTGACCTGAATGACTCACACGACTTGTGGGACTCGCGTCATTGCACACCTCGCACAGACTTGCGCTTGCGGCAGCCCTTGCGGCGCTCACGGTAGCAGCTCATGCCCTGCCGGCATCGACAAATGTGGGCATGGAATCCAAACAAAAAGGCGGCTCGGATCTGGAACTCCATTTACTTGATCTCGTTAGCTGAGCAAGGTCGAACAAAATCACAAGTCGCTTGGTGGTCCTTCCCTCTCCCTGCATGGCTCTGATTATACTTCCACCATCTTCCATCACGGTGCTCAGTCGCCTTCTTGAACAGGAGGCGAACTCGATGGTTGACGAGCACACCCTGCTTCATTGGGAAGCCCTGGCATGCAAAGAAGAGAAAAACACCTCACCTCCATGCAGAAGAAATATGAAAAATTTCAGTTTGGCAGAACCGCCCTCCTAGCTCTTCATCCTTTAGAGTGAAAAGCAAAAGACAAACGATAGGAGGGCGTAGTACCCACGCCATGGACACCAACCCATGCTCATCCGTGCTCTGGATATCAAAAATCAATTACATGACATGTATCATTATCTGGATGTGTCAGCGACAACAAAAAAGCACCAAAAAAGTGTGATCGAGTACTCTTCAAATCTTATCACCCCTCCTGCTTGTCGTTGCCACCACCAATGCGGAAGATGTAGCCCTGGCCCCGTGCAGCTTGGTGAAAGGTCTTTGAGCTCCCCTCTCTGGAGGAACTCCAGGACAAGCTGGCCGAGCTGGCATCTATCTCTCTTGCAAATGTTCTCTTTAACGTTGTGAACCCGAACTCAACACACAGAGAGGGGGTTGTAGTCCCGACTAAAACCATGGTTTGACCACCCCGACGAAAAAAACACAGAGCCAAAATCCTTGAAACATTAAAAAACAAAAAATATTCAAAAAATAAACAAATAGGAAAAACAAATCCACACTCAGGAGAACAGGTCTACTTAGGACAGGACTCAAAAAAAACACAAAACAAGACTCAAATCCAGACTCAAACCCAGACTCAAATCCAGACTCAAAAAAACAGACTGACTCAAATCCAGACTCAAATTCTCTGTTGCTGAGTCCGGATTTGCTGTTTTTCCTCTGTTCAACCTTCTGCCATCGTGAAATTCCATGCGAGTTTTTTTTCTGATTTCTACTGTATATGTTTCTATGCGGATTATTTGTTTAGTCTGGTGTTGGTTTCAAGTGCTTGAGATCCAGTTTGAGTTTGGTGTTGAGTCACCTGCTGCTTTCTGGGGGCTAGGCTACGGTGGGCTGGAACCTGCGTTTTCCCTTAGAAAAAAACAAATCCCGACTCAAACCCAGACTCAAATCCAGACTCAAAAAAACAAACTGACTCAAACCCAGACTCAAATCCAGACCCAAATCCAGACTCAAATTCTCTGTTGCTGAGTCCGGATTTGTGTTTTTTTTCCTCCGTTCAACCTTCTGCTACTTGAGTCTCCAGTTGAGTGTGTTTTTGTGTTTGGTCTTGAGTTCTGGTTTTGGGCTGAGTCTAGGTTTGTTTTGTGTGTTTGTTTTTATTTTGAGTATTTTTGTGTTTTGAATTCTTCATCTCGAACCTCTTCTCTGTGTGTGTGTTCGGTGTCACAGTTTTAACAGTTTTGGGGTCGTCTCTGCAACCTTCTCCCAGGCACGTGTCAATAGTGAAGTAGAACATCAACTGCATAAGTGTCCTCTCAAACACACCCACTCCACATCGCTAAACAACTGGCCTACTTTGGATCAAGCTCACATCCCTCAAATGGGGTCCTCCTTTCAAGCCCTTCTGCCTGTGTGCTCTCCACTAAGGTATCTCTCACACTGAGTGTCTCTCTTGATGAGTCCGACCAAGCTCCCTAGCCAGCCTTGAACTCATCACCAAGAGAGTCGCCTGACACCTTGCCAAGCAGCGAATGTTTCGAGACAGGAAGCAAATTCCCCGTTGTCTTGGAACAAACATTAGCTTGCATCTGCATTATTTAAGTAATTCATCCTTATTCATGATTCTGCTTCTGCTTAGCCAAAAACGCTCACAAATACGATTGAATTGAACTGCTGCATGCCTCCTGTGCCATGCGCTTGTCAAACAAAGGGTACAACTTCTTGTCATCATCGATCTCGATCTTCCTTCAAACAGCACCGACACCCATTTGCCTTGCCTGTGCATCTGATTGCATAAGAAAAGTACGACTGGTCATAAGCCATGTTTTGTGGGCCCGGTGCTCTTTAAACAAGCGTCTTCTGCATACCCGTGGTCGGGTTCGCGATGTTGATCTTCATGGCCTTGCTGCCCCGACCATGCCCTCCCAAAGTCACTTGTTTTCTTTGTCTGGTGCATGAACAGTGAATTTCCTAGAGAGCGAGGTTTATTGAGGTTCTTTCTGTGAACTTGCCCAAATGAATCCAAACAAGGAGTTTCACACATCTGATTTCCACGCATCTGAAACAGTTCTCTCAGCTTGCAACTCAGTGACGGGCGGCTGCAGAACACAAAAACGTTACCTGCCAGTGTTGCCTTGAGCCCAGAAGATCGCAGGTGTGAGGACACCTCAAGACATCGAACCGTCGGCCTTCTTTGAAGCATATTTGATTGTCTGAGGCACCAAAGGTTGCATAAAATTGAGGGTATGGAAGGCACATGTTGGATCGGTGAGTGCTGATACTGCTTAGTTCAACTACGGCGCACTTATATACAGTAAGTTCTTGTAACACATGCAGAGCAATTCACAGCCCAGCCAGCCTAGTGGCTGCTCCTTCCACGTCAAATGGCTTTTCTTCTGCTGTTTCATCGCAGTTTGACCCAGGGATCACCATGCCATTCACAAAGTTGCTGGCACAAATAATGATGTGTCCATCAGCTCACTTCAACCAAGAGTTGGAGTACAAAAGACGAGCTTGTCCTGGCGCAGTTCCAAGCCCCTCTGTGCTGCCTGTATCTTTTTGGCAGCTTGCTCCTTGAGCACAGCACTGAGTGCCAGGTATGAATGTCTGATTGAATTCCGAATTCCTTTTGCAGTACAAAAACTCTACCAACACAATTCTGCCATTCTGCTGGCCTTCTGCAGCTCGCTGGCTCGCAGGGTTTGGACCTGGCTGTTCAGCTGAAGACTTGACTCTACTCTTCTCCATCAGCCTTTCAAAACGACCAGCTCGAAAAAGGGTGGAGCAGGCAAGAAAAAATGTGAAACTGTCTGACTATGGCTGACTATGTGTGCGCAAAGAAATGGTTGAAGGCCTCATCTGTCATCTTGGAGACCTTTGACTTCAGCTCCTCCAGTTCTGCTTGCATCCGCGCCTTGCTCAAGGATCAAAAAAGAATGCATGCAAGAGAAAGAGTCGTTGCCAATGCAAATATTCAATATTTGTAGATGTTTATGATATTTGTAGATGGATATGATAGCACACAGTACATTGTACATCGTACTTTCTTGCAGTTGCAAATTGGGATGTCAGGGTGTCTGAGTTTGCAAGAAGGAGCTGCACCTCAGCCTCTTTCAGACGGCAATACTCCAAATCCCACAACTGGCGTGCAAATGTCGAATGTCTAAAATCCTAAAGCCAAATCGTCAGCAGTTTCCTGTATTCCACGTCAACGGGTTCATGCTAGAAGCAGATGCGGCATGTGGGCGCGGATTGGAAAGCTACTACTGCATGCTTACATGGCTGTAGCTACAAGAATGACATCCTATGCTGCACTGCCTTCCATGCATCCAGGGCCACATTCCCATGGCTTGATATGGCCTCGGGCCATAGCGCCAGGACATGAGTGTCTTGTCCAGATGCGCACTACACCCAAAGAATGAACAAGAGGTTCGCTCTTTGTCGAATCTCCACAATACCGTCGGAAGTTACAAGAACTACATGGTCTAAAATGTTTGCCTTCAGGTGAGATGACTATCTAATAGTCTAAGGAAAGAGAATATTATGAAAGATTAAACAAAAATTGATAAGACAAAAAATGAACTACTAGGAGCAAGGACGCTACTACGGGCTCCTGGCATCGCTACTAGGAGCAAGAACCCTACTACAAGCTCCTGGCATCGCTACTAGGAGCAAGGACGCTACTAGGGGCTCCTGGCCGTACTACTAGTAGCAAGAAGCTACTTGTAACAACATTCCCAAGTAACGAAGATGCGAATGTCACGCCTTGGGCAGAACCTCACGAAGCTTCTGAAGGTCTTGCTTCCGGACGGCTTTCTCCAGCCTTACACCGGCTCAAGCTGTTCAATCTACCGAAAGTGCTGTCAAAAAAAAACGAGCTTGTTGGCCTGAGAAGTTCAGTTGATGCAATCCAAATCTATTCAAGCATGCATGCAATCTTGGTTGCGTGTTTGCGGTGATGCAAGTTTGGACGTGATGGATACACGTTTGTTTTCGTACATTAGTGAACTTCTCTCAGCCAGTCCCTCTCAGTCCTCTAGGTGAGGGATTTAGCCGTTCCACTTCGGTTCGAGGAAATATGGAGAACCTTTGGCTCCGTTCTTAGCAGCAAAGTGCTCAAACTTGTCAGAGCAAATGGTGCAAGTTAAAACATGAAAAGCAAGCAGCACACCACAGAATTCTGAAAGCTTCCTTGGGCACAAACTCCTCGTTGATTGTGGAAGAACTAGCTGGAGCTTGCGCATCCTGTTCCATCAAGCATTGAAATGATGGAACTGATAGCAGCAGTGAACCCACCTTGCTCACCGCTGCTACTGGAGCCGCTGCAGCCACTGGAGCCGCTGCAGCCACTGGAGCCGCTGGGGCCCGCCTCACAATCTGCCATCCACGACAAGACGGATCATGCATCATTACTCGAACAGCAAGAAGAGCAGTCACAACACTCTTCAAAGGACGCTGTCCGTGCTTCTTCTGGTCACAGCCAAATCCCCACATTGCGCTACAAGAACGTCTCAACAAATGCTGCAACTAAAGCTAACCAAGCCCCATCAGAGGCTCCACACATAGTCTTACCTGCTGGCAGCAAGAAATGCAACAAAAGTAAGGACTGACTCCAAATGAACAATGCCACCAGTTCTTCGTTCTACTCGGCATCCCATGCCTCTAATGATTTGACATGATTTGACCACACCACCAACTTGCCCAGGTAGAACATTTGTCTGACTTCCTTGGTGCATAGAGAGAGGCTTCAGCCTTCAGCAGCCTGGCTCTGACTGCTCGAGTCCTACAAGAGACATGTTTCTTTTTGGCCGAGTGTTCCTCGATTTGACACTGGGATCAACATTATTACTTTTGCAGCGCTCTCCCGCACAAACATCCCTTAGAGACAGCAGAGAAGCAGCCCAAACAAGCTGTCACAAACTGGTATAATTTAGACTATAACAATACAAGGCTACCCGCTCCTGCAGGCGGCGAAGGCTTGTTGGACGCGCGAAAAGCCCATACTTTGGCGGGCACTCAAAGTAGCCTGGCATTCAATGAATGAACTTCTGAGATAAGTTGCGAAACCCATTTCTGGTGTTGAGTACTTCGCAACACCCGAAAATGTGCTGGGCGGACGAACGCCCTGCACGCTGCCGTCCTCGCAGCTCTGATGTGCTTGAAAAACCCATGATGCATGGTGATGCTCCAAGGCTGTGACATTCTTCCCGTAAGCCTTCTGGCATTGGATACCAACCCAAACGCCATCTGCAAAGCTGGTTGCACCTGGCAAAGGGTTCGTGCTGAAAACTGACAGTGTAGGTGAATCTCTTCCAATACAAGTATCGCAACTAGAGACTCAGGATAAACCACCCAAGGCCCTTGTCACTCTTTGGCTGACTATACTATTTGTATCTATTTGTGTTGTTTGCCACTCATTTGGGCATGATACAGTGGAACCCAAGATTGATCTTGTCAGCCATCTCACCAAAGCCTTGGAACTTTACGTGGCCAACCAGTTGTTCATTATCTCCGATTTGGACCTCAGATCACGTCGTCCACAAAAAATGCTTTAGGAAGTGCAAACTAGAAAATGGATATACCGTAGTCTGGACAAGAAAGATTAGAAGCAGTATTCCCATCTAATTCTCCACCAGGCTATCTTCTCGAGGAAACTGTCGTCTCTTGTTTCGGCCAAGCTGCGAAGTCACCAATTTGGAAACTCTCGGTCTTCGGGGTTTTCGGCCTCCCGGAGAGAGGTGAATGACTCAGGCTATTCAAGATGTCGATCAAATGTGTGCTTAACATATTATAAATATATATATATATTTCTTTGTTTTTCTTTGTTTTTCTTTAGATGCCTATTTGTAGGTCATAAAGTGGATAACGAGATAGGACAGTCTTCCATTTTTGCATCATTCTCGCTTCATTGCAATCGAACTCTCCATGTGCGCCTCTTCACGACGCTGCGCTTCCTGTCACCTGAGCACGACAAACCGACACTATCCAAGCTCATATGACCTTACAGTAATCAAAGAAAGAAACTGCCTGTGTGACTCTATTTATGACCTCTTTTGAATGGCATGCCTCAGATGAGGAAACCAAGTTGATGCAGGTCAAAACTCAAGGGCCCAGCTCATCAGCAGCAGCTGGGCCCCGCTTCACGCGACCAAATCGGCTTCAAGCAAGCAAGGCCAAGAAGACCACAAGTCAAGACATGGTTGACATGGTTGAAGAACATTGAAGAAACATCATAAATGCATAACTGAAATAACTCATTGGAGTCGGAGTCATTGAAAACCACCCGCTCTGGGGATCCTGATACATAGAAATCGTGAAAACAACACCTTCCACAAGAAAAAATCAGGCAGGTCTTTTCGGCCGGACTGGCTGACGAAACCCTTGGCACCGCTGCTTTGTTGGTGCTGATGTGAATTTCGTCCACCTGCTTTGCAGAATCATCTCAGCAATTCCACCTTTGCAGCAGCAAATCACAGGATGTGAAGCTCCACCCGCCGATTCACTGCCAGCTGTGTGCGGCTCAAAGGATGAAGAGCCTGGATACAAGCTCCAAACTCTTCTCACAACGAGGCAAGAAAGTCCAAGCTGTACTTTTTACATGCGCGAAAAGACCGCTATTTGTCTGCTGGACCAATGTAGTTCTTTTTGATTTCAACACCAATCTGTTATAATCTGCCCATCCGCAGAGTCGGATGCTGAAACAGCAGTCAATTGCTTGACTGCTATCCAGAAGTGGACAGTGAACATAAAAGTTGCTCGTGCGTTCCCACGAGCAAACTGGCAAACACCCCATCTTCGTGGAGATTAATTCGAGCTGCACGCACCGAATCTATGCGAACGTGCTGAACAAGGACTCCACCCTCGTCCGATGCCAAAATCGAACATGTTAATTATGTGGAAGAAGAAACAGCAAGTCAGACAGTGTCTGATGCTTCAGTGGACTCAGACTCTTTCATCTGGGGGGTACTTCTTGACAGGACTGTGGTAGGTCTCGCCATGAGTATGCTGGTCCACACCTTCAATCTCCTGTTCTTCGGGGATGCGCAGCTTCATCACCAGCCTCAGTGCCACGACGATGATGGCAGTGCCAATGGCTGAGAAGGCCACACCTGCCAGTGCACCAACAATCTGCTTGCCCAATAGTTCAAAGCTTCCAGTGTAGATCAGGCCACCGTCCAATGCAAAAATACCGGTCAAAATGGCCCCACCGATGCCGCCCATGCCATGCAAGCCAAAGGCATCCAGTGTGTCATCCACCAAATTCACCTTGTTTACCACCTCTACAGAGACGTAGCACCAAACAGCACCCAAAGCACCAATGGCAATGCTCCAGCCAGGTGTCACGAAGCCAGCTCCCGGAGTGATGCACACAAGCCCAGCCACTGCGCCTACCGAGGCTCCTACACTGGTGGATTTGCCTTTGAAAAGGCGTTCCAGCATCAACCAGGTCAACATCGAAGAAGCTGCTGCCACGAATGTGGTGGCCACAGCACGGGCCGCCACACCATCGCTCACTGACAAAGCAGATCCGCCATTGAAGCCTAGCCAACCAAACCACAGTAGGCTGCCACCGAGGATGACGAAAGGAGCGTTGGCGGGTCCCAGCTCCTTCTCCACATGCCTTCTGGGTCCAACGATGGCACCTGCAACAAGGCCGGACACACCAGAGCTGATGTGCACGACGGTGCCTCCAGCAAAATCCAAAGCTCCGAATTCTGCGATCCAACCACCAGGGCCCCAAACCCAATGGCAGAGTGGGGCGTAGATCAGCAAGGACCACAAGGCCAACATGATAGAATATGCGCTAAAGCGCATACGCTCCACCAAGGAGCCGGAGATGATCGCTGAAGCGATGATGGCAAAGGTCATCTGGAAAGCTGCAAAACAAAGACCAGGGAGCCCCGAGTCACCCCACATCTTCATGTCCAAATTCATCCACAGGCTGTAGTCGAAGTTGCCCACAATGTTCCCAATTGCAGCACCACCATTGTCTCCAAAGGCCCAAGAGAACCCAAAGACGACCCAGGTCAAGCATACAATGGCCATTGATGCTACACTCATCATCATGGTGTTGATAACGTTCGTGTCGCGCACCAAACCACCATAGAAAAAGCCAAGTCCGGCTGTCATCAAGAACACCAAAGCTGCGGAGGTCAAGACCCACGCAACTGCGCCCGTGTTCACAGCATCTTCAGTGAGGGCAGGATTTGCCATTGCTCTCGTCTATTGCTTGAAAAGCACTCGCAACAGCTCGGAAGATCAAAACTGCACCTTGAGCCGTGAATATAATATCATCGATGTGATGTAGTTTGAAAGTCCTTTGTGGGATTTCATGAACAGTGTCTTCATTGGAAGACCCAGCACAAGCAAACAAGCCTTGCAGCTCTGCGGCCGCATCTGGGTCCGAGGGACACCCAGTTCCATGAGGAGCTCACGGACCCGGACCGCCCGTCGGCCTCGCAAAAGAAGTGTGCAAGGGATAAAGTGGGATAAAGTCAATGTATAATGTATGTCAAAATCATTCAAAATGGAAAAAGAAGAATACAGTGTTCGCTATTTGGCTCTCACTGTCGCTGCACCTGCCAGGTCGGGATTCTCATCTCGATCCTTTGCACAGCATGAGTGAGGAACATGTGAAAATCTCGGCGGCGGGGGGGGCTTCCTTGAAGAAGCGCTCGCACAAATGATTTGGTTCGTAGATTTCAGGGAAACTAATCAATCGGCCTCAATACGCTGACCAACTGATAATGAGAGGCGTGCTTCTGCAATCACAAAGAATCAATCTGAAGCATCTTCAATGCCCGTAAAGAGGGGATAACACACATCGGCACAGCATTTCACTATGCAAGATTGTTTCTTTGGGTCTTAAGGGATGTGACTACCCCTGCACTCTGATCTCCATACATTTTGATGCCAAATAGTATTATCCTGTTTGGCTTCATGACCTGAAGCTGCAGTCAGGTCTCTACATGCCCTTCCAACCTCACAGCATGCTCCTCTAAGGCCTTTCCCAGTGGTGGCAGAAGCACCTCAATCTCCTGACTGGCGTAGAAGAGAGAGAGCACGCTTTGCTTGTCAACATAAAGGCCTCCTTGAAACATGTGTCAACACAAACCTTTGTCCAAAAAACGTCTCGAAATCACGCTCCAAGACTCAAAACAGGAAAGTCATGAGTCGCATCACCAATGCCTCTTGAGTCTTGAATACAAACTTGCAAATGCAATTTTGCTTTGGAGGGCAAGAAATGCCGATTATTCATCCTACCCGTACCCTAAAAACATTGACCCTTCGGCGAACCTGTCCATCTAGAGTGAAACTGTGCACTACTGAGCCTCAAGGCTATCGATATAAAATTGAATAGTGCATCCATGTGCCCACAAGTAAATACCTGCTTCACAGAGTGTCAGGCTCCAAATGGCTTCGACAAATTCAAGCAACGAATGATCAAGCATGGTGATCCATAGCCACAAGGCCAGTGCCATTTTAGGGGTGTGCGCTGTATGGACTGCAATCGCTGAACCAATCCCAGCGCTCCGGCAAGAGCGATGTGCTGTCCTGGCAGGTTGGCGCTTTTCACGCTGCAAACAAATTGATTGTTGAATGATGTTGAATGCATGCAATTGCATGGCTTCGTGTTCATACACCTTTTTTGTACTGGAGTAGCAGGAAGCAAATCTGCACATGCTGACAATCCTTGGCGAAGTAAAGGCCGCTGGGGAAGTTCATGCCCTCCATCTCCGCAGGCTTGGGACCGGAACGAATCACGAGCTCCTGCCGTCTTGAGACGCAAAGAACTACGAGCATCCCAAATACCCGTGAATGCGCGTCATCCCATCCAACTATTAGTAACAATGTTCGCTACTAGGGGCTCCTGGCCGTACTACTAGGAGCAAGAAGCTACTATACTACCAACTATCAGGTCACCTTATTGGGGAATGGCGCCTTATTGGGGAATGCTGTGCTATGACGTTCGGGATACGGATAAGGAAACAAAGGTGTGCTGTCTTGGACGTCAGTGTCACGAAGCAGTTGCGCTCCAAAATCCAAAGAACGGCATGGCAAAAGCGTGGCCTGGATGGGCACAGGCACCACCAACTGCCCCAACCCTGCGGTGGAGCCGCAACCCTTCAAGCGCAAAAGCCCTGGAGCACAGCCAGCTACCTGCACCAGTACCAGCCCATTTGTGCAATGGTGTTCTGGAGATGAGATAAAAGCAACGTTCATTTTGTTCTATGCCTTTGGTCCTTCAAACTAGGGCACACCTGTCCTCATGGGTGAGTTCTGAACTCAACACTGACTGCACGTCTTGAACAGCCAAGGATATGAACAAAAATGAAAATATGATCGTTGTGCATCTGAATCAAAATCTTAGGGAAGGTCGGACCACGTGTTGCTGCTTTTGGTGCTTCATGATGCGACGACAGGTGCACCTCAACCAACCATTGGTAGACGGCCAGGCTACGTTCCAGGTCAGTGCCTCGGATTTAGGTTGATTATCTGACAAGCATTGCAGAGCCGGTATAACTTGTTCCTGCAACTCCGCTGTAAATCTGTTCATGCAACTTTCTCAAATGTCCTTTGATGAAGAGTCTTGCGTTTCTGTGCTTTTCTTTTTGACCGCAATAGTGTCACAGTATCAAACAGGGACATCTGCTCAACTCAACTATGTTGCCACGTGCTCGCCACCTGTTTTACATGCAAACAACCATATCTTTCACGTGAGGGTACCTCAAGTAATTAATCATCACCTCCAAACTCTAAATGCGGTTCCGTCACTTCCCCGACAAACAAGTAAACTCAACTTCTGCAACACTTCGCGTGTGCTCCAATATGTTCGCATGTGAACAAAACGTCGCATGATTCACTGGTTCTTTTCAGAATTTCAACAGCTGAGCGCAATACCTGGTTCTTCTCCCTCAGCTTGGTGTCCTTTCAACAGCAACCTGGTGCAAGATGGAAGGAGGGAATGTCTATTTGTCTCTTGTGAATTGAGTAACTAAAAGTGATAAAACTTTGAGACATTTTGAGACTTTGTACCTGTGTTGTCTGCATCCCCAGTGTGTGTGTGTGTGTGTCAACCCCTGTGCCACAGGGTTCACTGCCAACTTCTACCTTTTTCACAGCAGGGGGCCATCCCCCTCCCCAGTGGCGGATGGCCAACGAAGAGGCCACTGGGGGGGGCTGCAAACGTACCTGCTACAACTGTTGAACACGCTGTCCAATTTGATCAGTTTGATTCATGGTCCTTCATGATACCTACCCCTTACACTTTTTTTCGTTTGCCGCCGTCAGCTGCGCCGCTCGTTTTCGCCGCCGCCGATTTTCTGCAGACTTGAGAAACAGCCTTTGTTCAAACACCTTCAACTTTTCGGACCTTTCACCCTGCCGTTCCTTCGCCATTTTTGACCTGGGAACTGAGTTAACTGAAAACCAATGTCAAAGTGTGTCTCGCTCAGCCGTCCCACTCGGGCGCTGAGTGTGATCCTCCGCAAGGAGGCGCCGTTTCATTGGGAAATCACTAACGGAGCTTACCACCGCTCACCGGAATCTCACTGGAATTCACCTCCACTTCCACCGAATTAACTGCCTCAACGGCCGCCGGGCCTAAACACGGGATCTGCCAGTTCACAGCGTTTGCACAGTTTCTGCATGGTCTTGCATGTTTTGCGAATGTTTCCTCAAGCAGTGCGATTTGAGTTTTTTGAGCAGTTTAATTCAACGTGCATGAACTCACCACAACACAACATTCCTCCACACCATCAAGCACAAGCAGAACAAGCACAAACACAACGTCCATCACATCCTCCAGCACGGCAACAAGCACGAGCACAT